TTATAATCATCAATCTCACTTGCATTTAATGGCTGATATAATTAATAAATTTAAATAGTTAATTTAAAAGGGGTCAATGATTAAGATTAGGTATGACACCTACACTATGTAAAAAATGTGTGTGTGTGTCACATGACCCTTTGGTTCTCTTCTTGATTGCTTCTGCATGTAGAAGAGAGTATGAAATCAAAAGGAAATCTTAAGTGAGCTTGTTTCCTTAGACTGACTACAACTAAGTAAGTGTAAGGAAAAACCCTCTTTCTTTGTGTTCATTGCCTAATTTGGTTATGTGTTAAGAAATGAGATGCTTCTATGTTGTATTAAAGCTAGATGTTGACTGTATTCCCCTTTTGTTTATAGTTAGTCATATATCAGTTAATCTGACCTTACTTGAGTGCATATAGGTATTCCTGATCTCATGATCAAAATGTGTAAATATGTTTTCATATGCCACTAGAAATTTTCTGGAGATAATTAGTATGTATTGGAACATGTTAGACCCTTTGTGAAGCAAAAATAACTCAACTAGTAGGTCCCCTATGAATTTTAGACAGAAATCTGGTATTCTGTTGCCATATATTAGTATATCTAGGAAGAGATATCTAGATAAGTGAACAAATCATATCTGGATATGTGAACAGTGCATATCCTGATACTTCCCTACATAAGTTTAGTTTTGTACTGATTCTTGTAACCTTATATTCTTTGTACCATATGTTTAATACATACAATACAAGAGCTATGGAATTCATATATATAGTTTCCATACAATTGGTAATCATGTATAAGCGATGATGAAAAATGATCATTACTCAGTTGTGCTATACTTAAATGAATAGAGACATGTGTATGTGTGGATTGATATTCCCATGTGTTTAGCATTAGCATTACACCATAATTATGGTTGTGATATAGAATTGATGGTTGAGGCATATTTTGTTGAGCTTATATGTTTATATGGATTTGATCATAGTTTCTTCCACTGGTGCTTTATCCAATATAGTAATATTATAGTAGTTGACATTGCAAAGGACGTCTTGTCGTGGTTGAGCTTAATTCACATATCGGTTAGCTAGTGCAAGTGAGTGCACATACAGTAGCTTATAGGTAATGACCAACGGGTCTTAAGATCATGCAATATATATGTTATAGTTGCACATACAATACCGTGTGAATGTTGGGTCGTATGACCATATAGTATAGACACTGGATGGTTGTTATGATTTTATTGTATGATCACATTATTGGTGAAATTGTACATGGACTCGAACCCAATTATAGGTACTTATGTGATACGAGTACCACCGTGAACATATAAATGAATGGTGGATAGAAATAGGGGATCTTTTCTAGATTGGGATTCAGATCTCACCCTTTATGGGATTTTATTTCAAGTACAAAGACCCAAGGAGAGGAACCAATAAATATAATAACCCTAATTTCATAATATTGAAATTAGAGGATTATTAGGAAGACCTTAGGGTCATAAATGGAATGAGGATGGAATTCTAAGAATTTTGATATCCATATTGAGAATATTTTACACAAGTGAATTTTCATCCGTTATTTGTGACTGCTGACCCAGTAACAATCATTAGAATAGCTCTAAGTTAGCAAATTATAGTTAGAGAGCTATTTTGATGATATGATTATCATAGATGAGGTTAGTATATGATTTGATGAAGTTTGATACTCATATTGTGGTATTTTTGAAAAGTGATTTCTGTCGAGTATTTTGTATTGCTGTAGAAGCAGCCGGTAGAATTCCGGAACGAGAAAAAGATGAGAAAATGGAAAGAAAGACCAACATAAGCCTAACAAGTCATAATTAGACCAATAATATTAAAGTTAAGAAGATTATGAAATCTGGGTACAGTTAAGAACACCGGTAAAGACTAAAGTGCAATTAAACAGCTGTTAGTGGATTTGTGATCCACTAATCAAATTTTTAAGTTATGAATATGATAATTAGACAAAATTAATATTAATTACTTAAAGTTAGAGTCTTGGGTGTTTCCGGGTAGAAATTTGATAACGGTTCAGATAAAAATTACACCGGGTGTCACTAAATGACAGAAAGTCACTTAAGTGATTTGGTCAAAATCCTAGAAGACTAGGGCACCCTCCCCATTCTGATTTCCAGCACCTCCTTCACTCTCTCTCTCTCTCTCTCCCTAACTTTTGAATTTCAAGTTTTCTCCTCCTTCTCTCTAGCTTTCCACCACTAAAACTCCATCAAATCACCAAGCACTCTTCACCAAACTTGTTTCCCTCTTCCTCCTCTTCAAGAATATACTATTTTTGTTCTTGAAAACCAAATTTTTGTGATGCATATCCCTCAATACAGTAGCGTTTTTTGAGTATATTCAAGCCATGGTGATGATGTTTTGAGTTTTTCTTAAAGAACACCACTTTGGTGCTTGTTTCCTTAAGTTTTTGTGTAAGTTTTTTTAACCTTGTTCTTGAAAAATTCCACCTTTGAGTTGTGTTCTTGAGTACTAACTATGAGTATTTCTTAAAGGTGTGTTCTTGATGGGAAGTGGAACATGTTTGCTAATTAGTTACATTTTAAATTCGATAAATTTACTTTTCAGTTAATTTTGGTCAGGAATTAGGTTATCCATTACAACATTAAAATGATAAAAAGATTTGGAAAAATCCTCAATAAAGAGTAACAATAAGTTGGAAAAACAATGTTGCATCAATAAGGCAAAACAGATTGCATCCATAACTATGTTGTGAACTTTTTGCTGTAGCAGGATGACAGTAGTTACTTTGAGTGAGAGTAAGTGCTCTTCAACTTGAACTTGCAAAGTAATGGAGATATGAATTGGAGGCTGAAATGATCAAGGCTGAAAGCAATTGAAATTATTGAACATTCAAGCACAAGGATGAACTTGAAAGTAAAAAAAGCTCAAAGAGTGAATTACGGATGAGGACTTAGGATCCAAGGTTTGATGGATTTGAATATAACCATATGAGTAAGTTTTGAAGGTTATAAGGGTGAAAGAAGTCATGCTAATAGAAGTGCAAAAGCACAAGTGAAAAAAAAAAGCCCCTCACAAAAAGAAAAATCAAAGTCAAAAGATAAAAATAAAATAAGTTCCAATACACATGGACAAAACTCACAAAAATAAAAGAGGGAGCCAAAGTCAAAATAAGCAAGCAAGATGGACATTCGTTCATTCAACTCTTTACACATGGTTTTGATTTAAGTTTGGCAAAGTATGGATAAAGCAACTAGGCCATATGATTCTTAGTTTGAAGCATTTTAAGACCAAAACTTGGCCCAACTCAGCCCGTTAACACCCCTAGATCCAGACTTTAGTTTATTTTTTTAAAAATGTTATGTAAAATGTATAATTTAACCTCGCTAAACAGGGGTGCCGAAATATTGAAATATTCTATATAAATATAACTTATTTAGGTTAAAACCTAACCCAACATAGTCTTTAGCAAAAAAAAAAAAAAAAAAAAACGTATGTTTGTCAATTTTAAGGGCCTTGGCATAAATAAATGCATACATACTGTAAAACTTTATCGTATGCGTAACATAACGTTCGCCATACTACGCATATGATAAAGTTTGAAAGTGTAGAATGCCGAAATAAAGCAGAAAGTTCAAACGTTAAGAAAGTAATAAAACCTCACCAAAAAAACAAAAAAGAACATAACAAAAAAATGTCATAAGAAACCCTCAAGGGTAGCTCAGTTGGCAGCTGAGCTCCCAAGGGATTGCTTGGTGCAGGGATCAAACCCTGCCTCAAGCAGTTTCTTAGAAAATCTTTGGGGGCCAGAGGATAAGCCAAAAAATCTTCGGTTGGGGGATTAGTCTCGTCCTTTCTCCGCTTGCGAAGCTTAGTGCACCCGCTGTTACAATGAGGGGCTAGCCCAAACGGACCGTACCCCGAGGGCATGGTGCCCGGAGAAGGTTGAATGATGATACCTCCTGACAATGTACCAAAAAAAAAAAAAAATGTCATAAGATGTTTTAGACCAAATCATTGTCCATAAGAAAATAAGGTGATAAATCATGTCCTGATTATGACACACCCACCCACACAAACAATACAAAACGAAAAAAAAAGTAATAACAACATAATCACTCTAGTTTGAATAATAATAACGCTTAGCGAACCTTTTGTATTTCACCTCCTCCTTCCCTTACAAGTTACATCTACGACTACATGTTCATGCTTTCTCAAACTAACGCTGCTTAACCAAACCCGGGCAGAATAGTATAAATCTATAAAAATAAATAAATAAATAAGATTTAATATGAACAATTGGCATCACTTGGAAAGCATGGACACGAAAATTTTCAAATTTTTGTGTGTCGGACACGCTCCGACACGCTCGGATATGCGGTCAATTCTCCGACACGATTTTTCGACACGCAGTTAACTTTTTTGGACACGCGGTCAACACTCGGATACACTTTTTTTTTTTAATCTTAATTTTATTTTATTAACTAAATATAAAAAAATTAATTTATAAATTAATTTTTTTCTATTATGAAATTTGACATGAAAAATTAATAAAGTAAGAAAAATTATTTTTATTTATATTTATGTTATGAAATTTAAATATTTGATTGGTTATATGACTTATTATAGACTCTTATACGTATTAAATACAAATTATATTATATATATTAAAAAATTTATTTAGTATCAAAACGTATCCCAACGTGCCAAAATATAACGTGTTAAAATTAACGTGTCAACGTGTCAAGCCGTGTCCCGTGTCAATGTCGGTGAATGATAGGGCATCACTATAACACTATGGAAGAACTTATGGACAGTACAAAAGGGTCACCGTTGTAGGTTAGGTGTTGGAAATAGATGCAATGGCCTTATAATGTGGGAACATGCAAAGCCCTTACTTGGCTCAAGTGTTCTCTTATTCTTACATTCTTGATCCTTGTGATCACTTGAACTAAGGGCAGTTTGTACCCCATTCTGCTATTTGACATCAAAGGCAAGATCATTATTGACCAGTTTCCAACATGAAAAACACCTAGTCAACTAGAAATTACATTCAACACTTTTGATCTGAAAAGAGAAATGAATGTACAGTACAACTATATGTACAGACTAATTTACAGTCAATGAACTAAAACTGGAAGTCAGAAAAACAGTAAGAAAAAAAATAAAAGCACATGAGTAGGGTAAGAGCCTGTCATGCTACCCTAACAAATACACTATATGACCTTAAGATTGCTTTCTGACAACCTTAACGCTGCTGTAGAAGCGCTTAAGATCCTTCATAGCCTTTTCCTCAATTTGAATAGAACGAATTGAGGAGGGTGTCTCCACTTCTGGCTTGAACCAGCGGTTTGAACCGGTGGCTTCAGATGGTGAGCCTTGACCAGAAGCAATAGTAAATCCAGCTGTTCTAGTCTTTGGACTATGGGAAAAACTCTGTTGTTTCTTTCCCTGTTTACAATCAGACAATTCAGATTAGCAACAAAATAACAAATGTAAATAAAATATTCATTGGACAAAATGGGACAAAAAAATTCTAAACCATTGGTTCACACCACAAAACCACTCCACGAAACCCTAACTTGCTAGGGTAGGGGTGAGGGCGATTCTTGTATACAGCCTATACTGGATTTGAACTGGCGACTTCTCAGTCACCGTAGGTTTACCAGTACTCCAAACTCTCCCTCTCACCCATTGGTTCATAGTAAACATTATAAAAAGAAAAACTCACAGCAAACGAGCATGAAGACAAAACACATGAAAGGAATCCTTATTCACAAACCTGTTGCATTTGGATGTCCCTAAAAGATGGCTTAGAGAGATTGGGAGGGGTTCCCGAAGCAGCCCATGGAGGGGTACTTCTTTCTCCATCAGATGCCTGGGAAGTGCAAGTTGAGGAAACTGGAATTGGGCTGGAAGGAAGAAATGAACTCAACTTTATTTTTCCCACACTGCCAGAACCTGGAAGATCTTCTACAGGTTCTTTGCTCTGGTTTGGCTTGATTTTGCTTTGTTCATCCTGGATTTCACGAATAGAAGTAGAACTCTTAAAAAACTTGGCTCCACCCCATGCAGGACTCTCATTTTTTGGTGTTGGTGGAGGAAGAACCACCTCTTTCGGGACATCATCAAGAGCGCCACTCAAAAACATGGAAAGCCCACCCTTCTTGCTCTTCTTCTTAGAAACTTTCGGTGATTGACCGTTATTTTTTAGTATCTCTAAAGAATCTTTCTTCTGCACCAGAAAAGCTGAATCTTCTGCACCTTGATCAGCTTCGGTTTGTTCAAACATGGCATCATCTTCCACCTATCATATAAAACTTACAGTTTTAAGCAACAAAATATGTGAAAGGAACCATGCAACTAATTCTTCGTGATAACATGAACTTCCTGATGAACTGTTCTTCGCAATATGATAATAAATCATTTTCAATATGCAAAGGGCATTCGTCCAATTCAAAATCTCTTCAAGCGTCCTTGGTATGTTTAACTAGTTAAATTTATCTTGGTTCCACAAAAGGACCAAATGACTTTTAAATAAACATATAGCCAATAAATAAAGATATGAAATAGCACATATACTTTTATAGAATGACAGTTTTAATTTTTACAAACCTACATATAAGCTCAAAGCTGATTTGACTAATTTACTTAGTGAAGCAATCCCAAGCCAGGTCTTCATGATGTTGCATGGATACAGTTGGAGAATTATATCTGACACAATAATTAATAGAGTTTTCTAATAATACATTATCATCCCTACCATCATAATCAAATTAATAAAACATTGTCATTCACCATATCTCCATCCCTCAGAATTTCCCCTCCTCACTCAGGTTGCTCGAAATCCCCTTTGTGCTTCTCTCTCCTCTCACTCACTGTCCATCCCCTCCTTAACAGAATCCCCCTCCCCAGTCACACCCTCAGCCAAAGTTCAAAAACCTGACCTAGAACAAAGAAACTCACCTGGAGAATCCGAACATTTTCATGTGTCTGTCAAAAGAATACACGAACCCGCCAAAAAAAGGCAGCTTCTGTATCATATTCATATCTGATAAGGATATGGATACAATATAGATACACAGCAAATTTTTGGAGCGTCCTTGTATCATACTACCACAAATGGATATGGACCAATCAGTCAATTAACAGTGCCTTCAGACACCATTTTTAGCCTAAACACAAGACACTTATCAGCGGAAAATACCAATAAGAAAAGGATCAATGTAACACTACGATAAGGTCAACTTGGTCAGTAATAGCTGCATTTATCTAGTGCACAACTGCTCATTGCTGGAAGCCTCTAACACAAGAAAATAGCAGCAAGAAACGAAATATAATGAGAATATAATTTTAAACAATGTCATTGAATGGTTGCCATAGCATTGTGCTGGATAACTAGAACAAACAACTAATGATATCATATCACAAACCTTTACATGGAAAAAAGACTGACACAATATCCCATCATCCCTGCCCCCAAAAGAAAACATAAAAAGGAAAAAGGAAGGAATGGTGAAAATCCAAGAAACGGCAATTATCTAACATGAAAAATGCAATCAGAAACCAACCTTGTTAAGAATCTGCAAGTCACCAATGTCCAACAAGTCCTTTGCAAGTTCCGGAATTATTTCACTGTTATTATAAACAGCTTCGAGTTCTGTCTGCTCTACACTTGGTTTGCCACTCTTTCTCCTCTGTTTTCTTAGTAGTTTATCCTTTTTACTACTTTTCCTTTCTGGCAGTACAGAAGACAATTCTTTATTCTGCAAAGTCTCAATAGGAACACCTAGTTCTGAAAGTGAGCTCTCAAGTGCTGATTTAGATTGAAGCTTTGCAATCTGCTGGTCATCGAGAATATATCCATTAGACTGCTTAGCTTCAAGCATCTCAATCTGCTGCAATTTCTTCCTTAAAGCTCGAACTAATTTAGAGACTCCTTGATCGGGATCATCCTTGGGCTGCAGAAAAGAATCTATTCTTTGACCTTTCTCCAACTTCAATGCAGACATGGGTTTGTCACAATTCCTTTGAAACTCCATATCGCTATTATCCTCTTCACTATTAATGATGACAGGGAAAGTAGCAGTTGGAGTTGGGAGCCGACGGTAACTCCATGATTCAGATGATCTCTGGTCTAATGACCTCTCAAGATTAGCCAGAACATCTGGTGAAGCACTAGACACAGCATGCGATGAAATGGTAAATATATAATCAAGGTTACGCAAAACAATCTCCTGAAATCAATAAAAATCTGCTTTAGTATGATCACATCACCATACCGTGGTAAGAGATATAACAGAAAGTCCACTTATGTTTAATGTTTAATTCTTCTCACATGAAGAAACATCAGATAGAATTTATTTTGATCAATATATGTTGTACCACTTAACACAACTTTGAAAATAAAGAAACATTATAGGGAAAATTACACGAAAGGAAATATAGGTAAAAACTAAAAATATTCAGTTTAGGAACAACTAATAATTGGTTAATGATGTTTAAAGTGGTCAATGAGTAACCATTTATTAGCTTAATTAACTACAAAAATGGTTAATTTTTCTTAAGCTCGAAATTGTTTCCAAGGCTTATTTTTTGCAATTATCATATGATTAATATGAACAAGCAAGAACACAAGCTCTATTAGGAAAACTATACAATATGAGAAAGGGAATTCCCCTATTTGGTGTCTCTTTATTTTCCACAACACCCAATATTTGTCTTTAACTAAAGTAGAGAAGGAAAAACTACCATTAGAAATTAAACACAAAGACCAATCAGTTTACACCCATTCCTATTTTTAAGGAACTTTTTTAAATTAGTTTTTACATGTTGCAGTTTAAAATCAGTTTATATTCAGCATTAAGGATTTTAAAAAAGAAAATGAATAAAAAAAAACTGTTATATGAAATTTTCTGTCTACAATTGAAACCAGCATTTCAGGTGCATCATCTAGTTTATATTATTTCAAATACTTTTGTACAGTAGTCAAGATCAGTACCTCACAATACTTCTTCAATTCATCTGCTCCAAGAGAATCAGCAATCTCAAGCAATTGTATGGCATTTCTTGGCTCTACTAGACACTCTGCTGCTACCTTTTCACAAAGACTTTTTAAGCTGGGAATGGATCTCCGACCAAAAGCATCATTTTGTGGACCAGATATAATATTATTGGATCCCATATCCTCAAACAAAATATCTTCATTTAACTCTTCCACATCATCCCTGTTATTCAACTTATGATTCTGAGAATTTTCAATCAAGTTGAGAGGATAGACAGGATGATAGAGGGAAGCCACAATCAGTAGATGTGTTTCACCAACAGAAACTGAAGAAGCCCTCTTTACACCATGCAACCGAGTTGCAACTGGTGGCTTATCCTTACTTTTTCCATCCCACACATAAACATCACCTGTAGTTGTAGCTGCTGCAGTCCAGTACTTTCCAGTAGATATGCTCACCATATTTCTTCCACACATTGCATATAACTGTATACAAATTTTTTTTTTACACAAAAAGGATAGAAATGTCTCTAATCAACATACTTGTCTCAGGATGACCAGAACATCAGCAAAGATAGAAATTCAGTAAATAGAAACCTGTTGGCATCTAAGATCAGGATCCGAGGAGACCCAATAAAATAATGCACCATCATCCGTAAGAGCCATGCTGTGAACCATTCCTGCAGCTATAGAAACAACATGAAGTCGTTCCATGCAATGAAACTTTACAGAAGTGCTTCCACTTTTCTTCAAGTTCCTAGTAATAACCACACGTGTTGGAGTAACAAGTCGATGACCCCAAGTGTATACCTACAAAGCAAGGTAAATTAGAACATGAAAGATGAAAACTAAAAGCTTTTTTGATGTTGATAAGAAAAAAAATCCCTGACGACTACTATTTACAATCATTCAGTAAATATTAGTAAAACATGATAAACTATGTCTCATATACATGCGCCAAAGAATAATCAAGTTAAAACATAATTTTGCAAAAGCATTAAGAATAATTATTTATGACCCATGACTTAGGTCTAATCCCTCTCCCTAAAATGTTAATGATCCAAATCTATACACATAAGAATATTTTTAAGTAGTTATACAAGATTGTTAGAAAGACCCATATGCATGGCCCTGCCCCATAATTTATGTCGTAGCCCTTGTATTTTTGTATTTGCGACAACTCAATCTTTTTAATACATTTTCAAAAAATACGTTTTTTCCTATCAAAAATAAAAAGCAGAAACTGTTACTTTTGGGTTGGGCTTGAAATGAGTATCTCCTAAAGTAAGTCTCATAGACCAAAATTGGAAGGGAAAGAGAAGAAGTTACACTTCAGCTACAAAACAGGAGGGGATCAGATTCAAATAAGAACTGAAATACAGCATGCTTGATGATGAATGACATTCAAGTAAAGAACAAAACAATTTATAACAATAATTTCATTAGCAACAACAGACTGTTACCAAGTCATTAACTTCATGGCAAGGCATTAATCACCATAATAAAATTGATTTTATCTAAGGCTATGCTGATTGTAACTATAATTTTCTTATGATTAGAATAAATTGAGTTATTAACAATATGCAAAGAGTTACCTCTCCATCAGATCCTAATACAACTGTATGATATTTTGCAGTAGAAACTCTGGTTAATTTCTTTCCCTTCAAGGATTCAACTACACGTGGGGTGTAATTTGAAGCCGAGTTTGAGGTGCCATAACCAAGCTGACCCTCTCTATTGCAACCCCAAGTAAAAACTTCACCCAAATCAGAAACTGCAACTGTGTGCTTGTTTGCTGCAGCAACAGCAATGACTTTTGCCCTTAAAGAGGTCACTCGACGAGGTGTGGGTTGTGTATCTACAGAAGTGTACCCAAGTTGTCCCTCTGCACAACAATGAATTTAGAAAATAATGATGGCAAAGCAATTTATAACTGACCAGAAAAAATATAACCCTTTTCTGTGTAATATATTTTCACACTGTAGAGCAAAGCAAAGATAACCTAATTTTTTCTGCAACTAAGCAAATGATAATTGCTACAAAATAAGAATACTTAATTAAAGGTGTGGCAAGGATACTGCTATATTTTGGTAGCATAATTTACAGTCAAGTAAGTATTTAGAAAATTACCCCTATTGGATCCCCAGGTGAATACTTCACCACCTTCAGTAGCAATAACTGTATGGTGCTTAGCTGCAGCAATTGCCTTCACTCTACGGGAACCCAAACCAGTCACCTGGCGAGGAGTGATGACCGCAGCTTGACCACTGCAATAAGTACAATAATATGAAAACTGATTGAAAGTTGTTCAAAAGAAGAAATATATTTCAGGATAAACTCCTCTCGCCCATACAAAATTAGAAGAATTGTACCACTGTTAAAACATTAGCAGGAACACCAATTAAAAAAACAGTTCTCATTAGTTCTTGATCTCAATCAAGTTTCTTATCTGCAAAGTTGATAAAGAATTACTTGAAAAAAAAAAAACAATTTAGTTAATTCTTGCATTTTTAATTTCTTCTTCAAAATTAGAATAATAAACTATGCTGTCATGTAAAATCAATTTTAGTTACCACTGCAAAATAGAAAGGCAGTGCAACGTCATGTAAAAAAAGTTTGATACAAAGTGATTAAATTAGTCAGCCAATTAAAATAAGTGAGCATGCAAAATGCAGATTCCACATCACAGCCTAACAATTCAACTATGAGCTTTAGGTATACAAAAAGTATTGATGACCATTTCAAATAATGAACTTTCATTACAGAAAAGCAGCATTCAGCAACATGATCAACTTGATTCTCATCCATGGTATTTGAGAAGGGGAAAACAGAAAACTTAGAACCCAATACTATTACAGAACTGACTTGATCCAAAGTGTTTCTACATATATTAAATGCAAATATTGATAATCACACAGATGAAATATTCAATACATGATAACACCAATGCTAACAGAAAACAAGTGCATCTGACATCATATTGAATGAAACAGAACATATACCTATGTATGTCAAAATCAGGGTGCCCTAAACGGCCCCCCCTTCCAAATCCCCAAGTATAAACTTCCCCACGAGCAGTAACTGCCACACTATGGAACTTTGCAGCAGAAATCAGTTTTATCACCAAACCATGAAGCGAATCAACTTTACATGGTAACTTTTGAATATGTGCATTTCCGGTTCCAAGCTGATAATTTGTTCCACTTCCCCAGCTAAAGACCTCGGTGACCACTAAAGATGCACAAAAAATCAAGCTGTCAACCTAGGCATCTACTTTCTATTGGCAATAACAATCTGAATCATAACAAAATAGTCAAAGCACAGAACTTATACCTGAATGGTGTTTATTTTCAAAAACTTGAAATACAGGGCCAGATAGGAGATCTACAGGTATTCTATATTTAGAGTCCTCCAGTGTAGTAGAGGCAGCATGCTGAAGAAGGACGCTCGCCACAGCAAGATGACCAAAATGCAGAGCCCTGTGAAGGCTACTCCATCCTGATTCTCCATCCTGAGAAAGAAACAAGTTTCAACACTAAGGGATTCTAAGAGATAAAAGTATTAGAAGTAATCCAAAATAGCCTTAAGCTAAAGCAGACCCCAGGAAATAGACAGATCCAATTTTGTGAGGCTCTAGCTATACGAGTCTACAAACTTCCTAGATTCCAGCTTATCTTCAGTACAAAATAATGTGAACATTTTCAAAACATTGATAAGTAACAAATAACTCACTATTGAAAAAATTATAACTTCCATAAATTTAAAAAAACAAATATGGACATTTCACTTCCTTAAAAACTTGTCTCAATGAGCTTTATAAGAACAAAAATATTTTATCTCTGTCATCACCACATTTTAAAGCTCATAAACTTACAGGAGTAATATAAATGACTTAGGCATCTTAGTAAAATTGAGGAGAGATTTTTACAAAATATCATTAATCAATGCAACAAAAATTCAATGATAGCAAACAGAAAATATTTTCCAGAGAAGTTTTGATCTCATGAAGTTTTAAATTAATCTTTATTTTATGCATAGATATTGAAATAAATTTCTGAATTCAGTTAAGGAAACATCCCAGAAAAATAGTAAAACAATTATCTAGCAACATTTAATGTGCACAGTTTACATAGAATATTTGTATAAAGTTGTAACAAATAAACAATTATTTTTTTCAAGTGTAGAGAACTAATTATGAAGTAAATGTCACAGATATAACTAAACTAACATCTCTTATAGAAAAAACCACATGCATATCTGTAAGAATTCAGAAACTAGAGATATTCATACTCGGGCATTAGGATCTGCACCAGCTGCGAGAAGCCTCCTCACAATGGGAATGTGATTTCTCCAAGTTGCTATATGAAGCGGGGTCAGCCCAAAGGCGTTCCTTGAATTGATATTTCCCCCACTCTTCTTCAATAGTGCCAAGACCAACTCTACATCAGTTAGAGATCCTTCCCGTACAACAAGCCACAGATCTTTCTGGGACCAAGCCGATAAAATTTTGTGACCCGGTGTCTGCAAATTCTGCTTTTGTACTTGCGGAAAAACAGCTAATTCCATAATTATAGAATGTTATCTTTCACGATATTTTATCTTAGATCTCAAAGGTCACCCCACTCAATGGCTTAGCAGTTATATTCCTCAAATCTACTACCTCATAATGTCAAGAGCCAGGTTCTCTAAAACTATTTCACTCCACTAGACTACTTTTGAACACCTAATAATAAACTCTGGCCCTTGAGTCTATCAGTTGATTCTCTCTAATCCATGCTAATATTATATAGTAATCAAAATTTCAACAAGAGAGATCCATTAACAAGTAGAACTGAACCTCTGCTATTCTATCATCATCATCACCACCACCATATTTATCGTGTACACAAACAAGTTGCAGCAGCCATTGACAAATCCCAGCACGGTTCATGGGCCACAAAGAAATCTGCTATAATAAACAGCAACCCTGATATTGCAGTTCTATTGTTAGTAAGCAAAACCTTGTGGAGAAATAATAAGATTTAAGGGAAGAGAGTCATGCAAACATACACAGGCACCAAAAATCTCTTGGTACACAGAGTATCATTCAGGGAAAATAAGATAACAATAACAAACAACTAATCAAATAACTCTTAAAATTGACATCATTAAATTGTTCCTTTGCAGAGAAAACATATAAAAGGTTTCAAAGCAAAACGATGATAGAAGTACAGAGCATTCTAACTACAATTTCACAACAAGATCACAATGTATCATCAGATGATGATGAACTCCTCAAACAAAAACAAAAAATGTGGATTGAAACCAGGTAGAATACCAAATTCTGCAGCTTATAGGCTCAGCAGTTCACACGAATAATGTGACAATCATCACGCAGATTACTAGAATAGAAATAAAAAACTCTCCGTTGATGCAAACCCTTATTTAATTTTTAAAAAAAAAATCGACATGCAAACTTTGAAAAAGGGGAAAAAATATCAATTAATTAATCTTGATCTCTGAGGAGTCTCATATCACATCAATGCAGAGTATAAAACTCATTCATCCCTTTCACTCCAACAAATACAATTTTTAAAAGCAACAACAATCAAACAATTGAATCAGGAAATGATCAAAACCTCACCAGAAACATAGTATTCCAAACAACAAACACTCCCAGCTTCACCAGGCCAAGTAAACACAAAACAAAAACAAAAACACAAACTTCACATAAAATGAGAACTCCAACCAATCAAAACCATACACCCCCACAGTATAGAAAAATAATCCAAAAACCATTAATGTAAAAAGAATCACAACAACAGAAGGGCTTGGAAACAGAAACAGCAATTAACACCTACCCACATGAAACATTTTTATTCATTTTTTCAGGATCACCCACCCACCATGCTAAGATATAATTTTTTTCACAGAAAAAGGAAAATGAGACCAAAATGAAGATGCCCAGATAGCCAAAAATCAAAACAAACGAAAAAGCAATAAAAACCATACACAATAAAGAGAGAGAGAGAAATGAAGATATAATGAGAAATACATGCTTAATTAAACTCACATACACATAACGCATAGCCTTTGTTGAGAATTAAAGTATGTTCTCTCTTTATTTGAGCGTGAAGTTGAGAAGTTAATATGCTTGATTTCTGTTACTGAAACTGAGAATATACCCTTAGAACAATGGCATAACATACAGGAAAGAGAGAGAGAAACAACGTAAGGGTAGTTTCGTAATTCTGTGAATGTTTTATTTGGACCAAAACGCCACTGACTCGGAGGAGATTGGCGAAAGCGTAAACGACAGCGTCTGAGTTGTCGCTTCGGCAAAGCTCTGCGTGATCCTACGCAAAACAGGGGTGTCTTTCCGAATGACACGTGGCAGATGACGAGGGTGATGCGTGTTGTAAAGATTGAGGACCCGATATTGAAATACACTTTTCTTTATTAAAAAATAAGAATAGAGATAAAAAATACTTATCTTCGGTTGTTTTTTAAAGATACACTTTTTTATTTCCAACAAAAAAAAATACACTTTTCAGCATTGGGTGGATGCCATTGGCCATTGCCAACTCTATTAACACCTTCAAAAAGCATGGCTTTGACGTCACTGAAAGCAAAGTTTCTGATCTTGATAATAAAGAATTAATACTCATGACATGTGTTTGGTTGCACGAGGGAGTAAATTTTCAGATCTTGATAATAAAGAATTAATATTCATGACGTGTTTGGTTTCATAAGCGAGTTATTTTATTTTTATTTTTTGAGTAAATACTCTTTTTAGTCCCTGAAAATCACGAGGCACAATTTAGTCCCACGTAAAAAAAAGTCACATTTCAGTGTCTAATTTTTGAAAAAAAGAGACACGTTTGTCCTTCTGTTACATGGAACGTGACGGCCCACTTGACGGAGGCCAGCTGGAACGTTAAGTGGCTGAGTCACTAACGTCACAGCCACCTAGAGAGAAAGGAACGACGTCGTATTTGATTCGAAGGCTGTTTCAAGTGAGTAGAAGGGGACGACGTCGTTTGATGAAGAGAGTCTTGTTGATCCTTTGTTGTTGACTCAGTGAACACCTATGAAGCACCGATACCGACACGGCGTTTTCGATACGTTCCCGATACGCGATGTCGATACGTTACTTCAAAATACTAATATTTCGATACGTTCCCGATACGTCTTAGTATAAAAATATTTTTTAAAATATATAGTGTATTTCACATTAACAAAATATAATAAAAGGAAAATCATAAGCACAATTAATAGATTATCCATACAAAATTGATAAAAACATCAACTAGTATGTGGATATGGAGTGCTACTAATAATATTTGCCTCCAACTCTGGCTCATCTAGGGAAAGGGCAGCACCATCTAAAGCTCCAACATCATTAAAGGTATCAACTGCATCTCCACTAATGTCCCAATATTGACTTTCTCCTTCATTATATTTTGGACTCTTTCTTGATAAGAGTCGAAGGTTGCTATGTATGTAAACTAAGTCTTCAGCTCGTTTGGGATCCATTTTATTCCTCTTCATAGAATGCACAAAAGAGTAAGTACTCCAATTGCGTTCAGCACACGATGAAGAAGAGAGTTGTGCAGTGAGTTTCAAAGCTAGCTTTTTAAGCAAAGGTGCACTACAACCGTGAACTCCCCACCAATCATTGGGATTCATTGTATATCGATTTTCAATAGCCTCAAACTCTCTAAAATCTCCTTTCATTTGAACAAAGTTGACATACTCCAAATTTACTGTAGCCCTTTCCTCCATACTAGAAAAATGTCTCCTGAAAAACTTTTTTACTTCTAAATTAATCTCCACATCATTGTCTGGAGAAACTCGATTTGGATCTTCAGCAAGCCATTGATCACTGTAGTATCTACCAAAGAGAAAAAAAATTACAAGTGTCAAAATGGTTTCAATTAATAGAATTATTAAACTAAGTTACAATTATAAGAAACTTACTTGGGATTCAAAGCATGTGCCAAACAATGAAGAGGAGTTGAACTTTTGGTCCAACGATCCACAAGAATTTTATACACCACATAATAAAACGTTGATGACTCACCATTCATCCTCCCTTCTTTCAAGTATATTACATTCTTTACCTTCTCAATCATCGCATCCCACATATCATAAACCAAATGAAGACAAGGTTTATCAGTGTCACAAAATCTGATCATATCGTAAATGGGAGCAGTGAAAGCAAGGATGTAATCAATATTTGCCCAGAACTCATCATCCAATATCTTCTCCTTCACTAGTCTTGCCCTTCCTTGATGATCATCTTTATAAATACTCCATTTTTCACAAATGACCATGTTTTGTAGGCCAGCCTTTATCAACTTGAACCTCTTTAACATCACAATCATAGAAGCAAATCGGGTGTCAGCAATAGAAAGCAACTTCAATGACACAAACTCATTAAACATGGACAATCTCATAGAATGACTCATGATGAAAGTCTTGATTGTTGAAACATGACCAATAATTTCAGATATCCAACTACATTCTCCATAAGTAATCTCATTATTCTCCACATTTTTGGCTGCACAAATGTTCTTCAAAGCCAAATTCAACATTTGAACAACACATGGTGTCCAACTGATGGTCGGATATTCTTGCTCAATAAGCTGCCCTGCACCCTTACAATTAGCAGCATTATCCGTTATTACCTGAACCACCTTCTCCACCCCAACCTCTTGAATTACTTCCTTTAGCAAGTTGAAGATAAAATATTTATCCTTCGTATCACTAGAACAATCAACATTTTTTAAAAACATGATTGCACCATCACATACTGCCATGAAATTAATTATTGGCCTCCTTTGGGAATCACTCCATCCATCACTGACAATACTCACACCATTTGATCTCCAAAGAGATCAGGCAGGGATACATAACCTATCAATATTATCCTTCTCCTGAGTCAAAAGAGTAGTTCGCAATAAGTTATAGCCAGGGGGCCGATAACCTGAAATGTTATGACTTGCAGCATAAGTGAATGCTTGTTGAAAGTACGGGTTCCTTGCCAAATGAAATGGCAATCCAACAGAATAAAACATCCGAGCAATAATATGATTCAATTCTTCCCGCTCCCCCATATTGAAAGCCCTCTCAACAGGACCCATATTTGTAGTTCTTTCATCACTTATTTTTCTTTTAGCAGATGTACTAGCTGTAGTTGAAAAGTTACTGGGTGGTAAAGGAACAGATCTCGGTGCATTATTCTTCACCCTTTCAGAATATTCCTCTTCCAGTTTTCCCATTTCCATCAAAGATGCCTGCTTAACCTTCTTACACACTCCAATCCCTTTACATTTGATCTTTAACAAATGGGCCTTTACTCTTGTGTATGAACTTCTGTATTCAAGTTGGCAAAACTTACACTTCCAACTCATATTCCCTCCATCATTTGTTCCATCCTCAACTCTAGTAACATACCTTCACAATGGTCTGTTCGAGTTTTCAACTTCAGTGTCCACAACTTGTACATTGGATTGTATTGAACTACTGCTTTCATTTATGTTTGACTCCATTCTATTAAATTCAAAACAGAATTTACAAATAAATTAAAAAAACATAATTTGCAAACAGATTAAAAATAGCATAAACAACATCATATAATAAATTAAATTAAAATCAAAAAATATAATTTACAAACATAATCATATTAAAAAAAACAGAATCATATTTAATAATAGAAAATATAAAATCATGTTAAAAAGAAAAATTAAAAGCAGCAAATATAAAAAATATATAAAGAAAAGGCACATAAATGGCAAATATAAAGAAATATAGAATGATATTAAAAATTAAAATTAAAAATTAAATCATATAAAATAAAAATTGGCAGAATCATGATTCTTTTTAATTTATAAAAAGCAAAAAATAAAAGCAAAACATAAAACGGCAAAACAGAACAAAATGGCAGAAGCAAAAGAAATTAAATAAAGAAAAAAATAAAAGAAGCAAATATAAAAAAAATGAAACTCACAATCGCACATAAACGGCAAAATAAAACGCACATATAAACGAAAGAGATGGCAGACGAATTCTAAGCAAATAAAACGAAAGAGAGATTAGAAAAAAACTAACTGAAAGTCCAACAGAGATGGACGCGCTGAGATGAAAGAAGAGCAGAGATGGCAGACGAGCAGAGGCGAGAGGCGACGAGCAGAGGCAACGAGCAGCAAAGACGACGACCAGCAGAGGCGACGAGTAGAGGCAACGAGCAGACGACGACCAGCAGCAGAGGCGACCAGCAGCCAGCAAAGACAACGAGTCAGATTTCAATTTGAGAGAATGGTTTCAGACGATGATATAGTGAGTTACATCTAGTTTTAGGGCTTTTTTTAAGCTAAAATCTTCACCCTTTATTTTTTAAAATTTTACAAAATTTGCCATTTGACCGAATTAATTTTTTGACTTTTCTGATACGTGAAATAACGTCTGCAAAGCGTACCCGTTTAAAACGCGAATCCGATACGTGAAATTTTTTTTTTAGCCGTATCCGTGCTTCATAGGTGAACACAGTCAGACAACAAGTAGTGATTACCATATCCACCATTTCCTCTGCTCGTGAGCTTCTTTTTCGATGAAGGTTGGTGACTTACGGTGCTTTGTTGGTGTATGTGTCTTCTCCAGTTGCAAGCATTTAGTGTGAAGATCCTTAAAACAACGGTTGTGAGTGTGGTGACTTTCGTGCAAGGTACGTGAGAGAAACCCTTTCTTTATTATCCGCTGTCCCCCTTTCCTTTTTGGTCATTGTCTTTTTGCTTAATGTGGTCCCCCATGTACGGTTTAGGGCAAGAGATGGTTAGGGTTTGTTTTATGTGGTCCCCTTTGGTAGAATATTTTAGGAACTTGTTGCATGTGGTCCCCCTATTGTTATTTTAAGTGGCTATGTGTAGTGATTAAAAAAAAACTCCCAGCAATGCAGGCATTTAAAATAACCGTGACTGTTACAGTATTATAGTAATATTCATAATAATTGATTGGTTGTATGATACTGTAAAATAATATTAAGGTAGTGTAAAAAATTATTATGTTATGTTTTATATGCAGATGGATGAGTATATAGTCATGAGATATCATCATGGGGGTGTGTTGGTTAGGAATGATGAAGGGAAGCTGAATTATGTGAATGGGAGAGTGGATGATTTACCAGAAA